CTTCGCCCCTGGCGCGCTCCGCTCGCCAGGGAGGGGGACACAGTGCGGACCCAAGAGGTCCGCGCGGGCCGTCGAAGGGCTGCGTCTACGCAGCCCTCTCTTCTGCTGCAGTCGTTCGGTGGCATCGTGACGGGTACTCACTGCCGGGTACTGCGGAGGTTTGCCGAAAGCTGCCTTTTTAGGACCTCTTGCTGGCATTGCAGCGTCGCCCACATCGGGGAGGGTTGGGTTCGCCGGGTCACTGGCCGAAGTACCCGTTAGTGGAGTCTCCCCGTTAGAGAGGCGCGGATGCCTGCGCGTTTTCGCCCATCCCTCCTGACCCGAGCGTCCGACAAAGTGTTTTTTGTTGTTCACGGCGTGGCTCCCGAGAGATTCTGGGCCTCTGGGCCCCTCCCAAGGGCGTGGCTCTTCATCCCGAGTCGTCTCTCGGCGCTCCCCGGGCCCTTCGAGGCAGAGGGGGAAACGGTACCCAAACCGCTACACTTCCGCCGCTTTCCCTTTTCTGGGGCCTCCTGGGAGACCCTTGTCGCCACCGCTGGATTCGCTTCGAAATCCTGGTCAGAGCGCACCCCGGGAGAGCTCCGGGGAGTAGGGGTATGGGTACCTCTTGGTTTCCCCAGTGAGGGGCCCCTTTTCAGAGGTCGAACATTAAACACAAACCAAACTTCGCGTCGTGATTTTGTCACGGCGCGAGTGTGTGAGGGCACTTGCGGGATTCGGCGCCAGTCCTGCGGGGGCGGCGGAAGTGTTAGGCTTCCCAGATGGGGTCAAACTAGATGGGGTCGGAGGATGGAGCCGCAGCGCCGATGCATCGGCGATGTCATGGCTCGATGTGGAGCCCGATTGTCTCCACGCCGACGGCGCCGATACATCGCCGATGCCGCCGCTGCATCAGCGATGCATCGGCGATGCGGCGCCATCCTCAGACTCCATCTACTCGGACAACATTCGATCGACGCAGAACAACGGGTTCGATTGCGCCGTCATTCGCGCGTAAGTTTCCCGCGCCAGGTCGCGCGTATGTAAGCGTCCTCGTTTCCACGTGCCACCCTGACGGCCCGCGTAATGGAAGCACGCGATTTAAAACATACCCCCCCTCTCCCCCTGGGGGCCTCACAACAAATGAGTTGGGCAGACTAATACAATTCAGCCGCCAGAACTGATTTTTGAATCGTCGGCCTCCCCCAAGGTAATTCCCAACCATCCTGTGGTGTTGGGTCCTCGTTTTGAAGAGACGGTGCCCCGCGTTCTCCTTCCTTCCTTCCACCCGCTGCCTCCTCCCCCCTCCCATCATCATCATCATCAACACCCATTTCGGCACACCCCTCACACGTTTCGTGGCTCCATAGGGAGCTCCACCGAAGGCCCCAGTGCCCGCGGCCGCATGCGTCCCCCACACCCATTTCGGCACACCCCTCACACGTTTCGTGGCTCCGTTTCGTGGCTCCATAGGGAGCTCCACCGAAGGCCCCAGTGCCCGCGGCCGCATGCGTCCCCCACACCCATTTCGGCACACCCCTCACACGTTTCGTGGCTCCATAGGGAGCTCCACCGAAGGCCCCAGTGCCCGCGGCCGCATGCGTCCCCCACACCCATTTCGGCACACCCCTCACACGTTTCGTGGCTCCATAGGGAGCTCCACCGAAGGCCCCAGTGCCCGCGGCCGCATGCGTCCCCCACACCCATTTCGGCACACCCCTCACACGTTTCGTGGCTCCATAGGGAGCTCCACCGAAGGCCCCAGTGCCCGCGGCCGCATGCGTCCCCCACACCCATTTCGGCACACCCCTCACACGTTTCGTGGCTCCATAGGGAGCTCCACCGAAGGCCCCAGTGCCCGCGGCCGCATGCGTCCCCCACACCCATTTCGGCACACCCCTCACACGTTTCGTGGCTCCATAGGGAGCTCCACCGAAGGCCCCAGTGCCCGCGGCCGCATGCGTCCCCCACACCCATTTCGGCACACCCCTCACACGTTTCGTGGCTCCATAGGGAGCTCCACCGAAGGCCCCAGTGCCCGCGGCCGCATGCGTCCCCCACACCCATTTCGGCACACCCCTCACACGTTTCGTGGCTCCATAGGGAGCTCCACCGAAGGCCCCAGTGCCCGCGGCCGCATGCGTCCCCCACACCCATTTCGGCACACCCCTCACACGTTTCGTGGCTCCATAGGGAGCTCCACCGAAGGCCCCAGTGCCCGCGGCCGCATGCGTCCCCCACACCCATTTCGGCACACCCCTCACACGTTTCGTGGCTCCATAGGGAGCTCCACCGAAGGCCCCAGTGCCCGCGGCCGCATGCGTCCCCCACACCCATTTCGGCACACCCCTCACACGTTTCGTGGCTCCATAGGGAGCTCCACCGAAGGCCCCAGTGCCCGCGGCCGCATGCGTCCCCCACACCCATTTCGGCACACCCCTCACACGTTTCGTGGCTCCATAGGGAGCTCCACCGAAGGCCCCAGTGCCGCGCGGCCGCATGCGTGGCTCCCTCCACCACCCATTTCGGCACACCCCTCACACGTTTCGTGGCTCCATAGGGAGCTCCACCGAAGGCCCCAGTGCCCGCGGCCGCATGCGTCGGCACACCCCTCACACGTTTCGTGGCTCCATAGGGAGCTCCACCGAAGGCCTCAGTGCCGCCGCCCGCATGCGTCACCCCCACCCATTTCGGCACCCCCCCCCATTTCTCGCACGGCAGGGTCATCACCACGGTGGCGTGCCAGGGGCGCACCATGCGCGAAGGCGACGGGGCGGGGGAACGGCGCTCCGGGGGCGGCCAGACCTCCGGGGCGCGAGCAGTCCGCGGCCAGACCATCTCTCGGTCCTGTGGACTCTCGCCCTGGGCCGTCGGCTGCCCGGCGCGCTGCTCCCTCGGTCGACGTCGCCCAGGCGTGATCCTGGATTGCGGCCGCCACGAGGTAGGGAACGGCAAGAAGGAGGACGACGACTGGTGGCTGGAGCTCTACGTGCTGCTCTCGCGCGCCACGCGCCACGAGGACCTCCTGCTCATGCGGGCGCCGCGCATCGAGTTCTTCCTGGCAGGGCCGCCGCAGGGCTTGCGGAAGCAGCTGGAGCAGTTTGCGGCGCGCACGAAGCGGTGCAGGAGGGAAGCGACGGCCCTCGCCAGGGAGCTCGGCTTCACCGAGTTCATCCGCGAGGCCTGACCTGAGGAGCGTCTCCCCCGAGCCGCGCCTTCTCTCGACTGCCCGACTAATTGTTTGGCCTCGCGCCGCGGACGACCCGCGCGCGTCGCTGGGGCCCTCTCGGGGCGACCAGCGCGCGTCGCGGGAACTCCGTGCTGCGGGGGGCCCGGCGCCTCGTTCGCCCGTCGTCGCTCTGCCCAGCGGTCAGAGACTTGCCCGCTATCAGCCAGCCAGTTAGCTAGTCAGCTCTCTCTGCTTCGCGCAGCGGACGACCCGCGCGCGTCGCTGGGACCCCGCCCGGGGCGACCAGCGCGCGTCGCGGGGACTCCGCGCTGCGCTGCGCCCGCAGCCTTGGATTTTGGAGTGCGCGGGCAAAGAGGAAGGAAAAGAAGAGCCGAAAGCGGGCGCGATCCTCGCAAGAGGCGTGCCGACATGGGCGTCGCGACGTGCGGACGCTGCCGTCGGGGTTCCCGCGGAAGCTGCCTGCGGCGGCCACGCCCAGTGTCACGTGTGTTCGGACAGGCATGCTCGACACTTACACTAGGCGGTTCCATGATCGCATTCATGCAAATATATTCACTCGCGCGCAGACCCATTCATACTCAGATTCCCTCGCGCTCTGACTCACCCGCGTTCTTTCTCTCGTAATCAGATCTATCGTATTCCTTTGCGTTGTGTACCCCGCCACATTTCGGCACACCCCTCATGCGGTTCGTGGCCCCATAGGGAGCGCCACCGAAGAAGATACTCACAATTGCGATACTCACAACTGCATATGGTTGGGTCCTTCGCCAGGATATTTTTTTTGCCGTCGCGTTCAAACTGATTATCTATTCTCCCCCCTGCGCTCGCTTGTCCACCCTCGGCGTTTGAGACGCACAGCGTCGGCGCTGTATTTTCGCAGCTGCAGGGTGGAGGAGGCAAGGGAAGAGGATGAGGAGGAGGCGGAGGTGGAGGAGGATCGTCTAGGGGAAAGGGGGGCAGGAGGGGAGGAGGGAGGAGGGGGGAGGGAGAGGAGGCGGAGGAGGAGGAGGAGGAGGAGGAAGAGGAGGAGGAGGAGCGGAGGAGGAGGAGGAGGAGGAGGAGGAGGAGGAGGAGCAGCACCAGCAGTAGCAGCAACAGGTCGAGGAGGAGGAGGAGGAGGTGGAGGAGCAGGAATAGTAAAATGAATAGGAAAACACATAGGAATAGGAATAGGAGTAGGAATAATAATGAGTTAGGAATGTGATTTTGGAAGTTCACTTGGGATCGGGATAGGAATAGGAATAGAAACAGGAGCACCGGTCATTTTCTGATGTCGCGTGCACAGATTTTCTATTCGGCCCCCTTGCGCTCGTTTGTTCGCCCGCGGCGCTGGAGACGCACAGCGCCGGCGCTGTATTCTCGCCGCTGTATTCTCGCAGTTGCAGGATGGATAAGGGAAGGGAAGAGGAGGAGGAGAAGGCGGAGGTGGAAAATGATAATTACTGCGGGGGGGAGGAGGCGAGAGGGACAGGAGGCGGAGGAAGAGGAGGCTCCTTCGGCCCCTGCGGCCAGGTTCCTTCGGCCCCTGCGGCTTCGAATTGTCCCCCCCTCCAGCTTTGATTTGTCAGCCCGTGAGCCCGCCCTCCGTCGGCCTGCTCCCTTCCCTTCCTCTACTGTGGGGGCATCCAGGCTGGCGAAGTTCTCGTTTGAATCGTCTGGGGCAAACAGAAACGCTTGCTCCCAGTAAGCCACCGCGTAAGGCCGTAATGCTACCGCCCGTAAGACCCGTTCCTTTTCGACGCGAATTTTGGAGGCCTCTAGGAAGCCAGGTGCGCGCGGCTGTACACTGTGGACACGAGCTTGCCCCTGTCGGCCACCTCCTTGGCGGGCACCCTCGACTTCGGCAGCAACGCGCCCCTGGGCGTGGAAGCGGAGAGGGATAATGATGATGATGATGATGATGATGATGATGATGATGATGATGATGATGATGATGATGATGATGATGATGATGATGATTGATGATGATGATGATGATGATGATGATGATGATGGTGATGGTGATGGTGATGGTGATGGTGATGGTGATGGTGATGGTGATGGCGATGATGATGATGATGATAATGATGATGATGCTGCTGATGAAGATGAATATGAATATGAAGATGAAGATGCTGCTGCTGCTGATTATGACGTCGATGATGCTGATGCTGCTGCTGATGATGATGATGATGGTGGTGGTGCTGATGATGTTGCTGATGATGATGTTGTTGATAAAGGTGATGATGCAGATGGTGTTGATGATGCTGATACTGCTGATGATGATCATGATGCTCATGCTGATGATGAAGTTGCCGATGATGGTGCTGACGATGACGATGATGATGTTGACGATGTTGCTGCTGATGATGACGATGATGCTGCTGATGCTGATGATGTTGATGATGATGACGCTGATGATGATGATCATGATGATGGTATGATGATGCTGATGCTGATGCTGATGATGATGCTGATGATTCTGCTGATGACGATGCTGCTGATGCTGATGCTGATGATGCTGCTGCTGATTATGCTGATGACGATGATGATGAGTATGATGCTCATGATGATGTTGATGATCATGATGCTGATGATGATGATGATGATGATGATGATGATGATGATGATGAGGCTGATGCTGCTGCTGATGATGATGATGATGCTGTAGCTGCTGATGAGTATGATGCTCATGATGATGCTGATGATGATGCTGATGATGCTGATGAGGCTGATACTGCTGCTGTTGCTGATGATGATGATGTTGCTGCTGATGATGATGATGCTCATGAATATGATGATGATGCTGCTGATGATGATGATGATGCTGATGCTGATGATGATGCTGCTGATGATGATGATGCTGATGATGATAATGATGATGATGCTAATGCTGATGCTGATGCTGATGCTGATGATGATGATGATGATGATGATGATGCTGATGATTATTATTATGATGATGCTGATGCTGATGCTGATGCTGATGCTGATGACGATGCTGATGATGATGATGATGATGATGATGATGATGATGATGATGATGATCCTGATGCTTATGTTGCTGCTGATGATGATGATGAGGAGGAGGAGGAGGAGGACAAGGATATGAGGAGGAGGAAGTGGAACCCGAGGGGAAGAAGGAGGATGAGGAGGAGGAGGAAAAGGAGGCGAAGGATTAGGAGAGGGTGAGGAGGAGGACGAGGAGGAGGAGGATGAGGATGAGGAGGAGGAGGAGGAGCAGGAGGAGGAGGAGGAGGAGGAAGCGGAGGAAGAGGAGGATGATGATGAGGAGGAGGAGGAAGAGGAGGGAGAGGAGGGAGGAGGAGGAGGAGGAGGAGGAGGAGGAGGAGGAGGAGGAAGAGGAAGGGGAGGAAGAGGAGGAGGAGGAGGAGGAGGAGGAGGAGTAGCGACGCTACCCTATTCCGACTCCCCCTTCGAGGTTCGAATGGTCGGGGTTCGAAGGTCGGGCCTGAACTTGTTCTGCCTGTCTGGGCCTCCACTGGCGCTCCTCGCCGCCACGGCTGGAGCAGGACGAGAAGGGCGTTGTGTGTGGAATCCTGGAGCGGTGCATCCAAAGTTTGGCGATCACATCCTCAATTGGCAGGAATCGGGACGATCGAAATGGATACGGGAAGAATGGGTACAGAGACCGACAGCAGTTCCTGCTCATTTTGAACAGGACTCGCTGTCCGCACCGCACTGGACGTTCATCGAAGACAAAAAAGGCCGCCTGCCCAACAGCGGCCGCTGTCGATTTTGGACAAAATTTGCTGTTGGGCATTAGTGTGCCCATTTTTTCCGTACCAATGCGGGAGCGGGGCGGGGAAGGGGAGCGGCGGTCATGGATGAACCAACGCGAGTTGTCCTGCAGAAGCGATGTCAGGACGCTGCATTTCGCTCAGGCCTACGCTTCATCCATGGCGCCTGCCATTCAGCAAGGGAGCGAGACATGGGGACAGGAGGCAAGGAACAGAAGGGAGAACTCTTTTCTGGACCTGGCGGCTGGTGGGCGGGGCTCCACACGAAATTGTGAAAGCACTGGCAGAGCCCACACCCGTCCTGCGCATGCAGCGTCGCCGATGTCCTGCCGAGACTGACACGAGCCCGAGCCTGTCTGGCACACGAGGATGGCACGTCCTCCTCGGCCACGGTGCTGCGGGCACCGCGCCGCGCGCACGTGCGTCACTCAGGAGCGCGGCGTGGATGCACAGGGCCAGGTACAGCAGCCGCAGACACTTCGCATGGCGACGCACGTGGGGATGTCACTCTGTCTTGGCGCGTTCCGCTCGCGAACCATTCTTTGCGGGAGTTCCGAGACTGGCGTGCGTAGTTGGCCCGGTTTGTGCAATTTGAGGCTGTCAGTGCGTGTTCCCACCAGGGGACATTGCCTTTTAGATTCGGTTTTGAATGATGCTGCTGAACATCTGGGCGCCCAGCCTCAGGAAGCCGTTCACGGACAGCAGGGCCGTTGTCAGCACGATCAGCTTCAGGGGGGCAGCGGCAAGGCCTGGGTCGGGGCAGGCTGCTGACCCCCATGCTGTCGACATTCAGGTCGCGGAGCAGCCTCGTGGCGTGTGTGAGGATCCGGTGCAGCGGCTGCGGGCCGTTCTTGTTGACCCCCTGGATGTCCAGATTGGGACGCTGGCCACGAGGTGTGAGAACACGAGGCCCTTCGGGAGGAGAGGCATGATTGGGCAACAACTCAGGAGCACCAGAGTTGAAGGCGAAGCCAAGGAGACGACCAAGAGGCGGACCGCAAACAATTTCAGTCACTTCAGGGCTGCGCTGATTTCTTGGATCCGCCCTGGTCCCACCTGGCGGCGCCTCCGGCGCCGCTTCTGGCGCGGAGCCAGGCGCCGCTTCTGGCGTGGATCCAAGGAATCCGCGCCGAGCGCCAAAAGTTTTGATTTCTGCCAAAAAGGAGTGGGTCCATGGCCCGTGGTAGGAGCTTGAAGCGTGCAGGACCTCCAAGTGAGACAGTTTCTCACATTGAAGCCCCTGGCAGCCCGCGCCTGGGCAAGAGGTGCACTCCTGCGCAAGCTGTGAGGAAGACTCAGACGAGAACGCGCCTCCTTAGAAACTTTGAGGTGAGAGCGCGATCCAAGAGCCCTCGTGAGGACGTCGCAGGCTGTGGCCGCTTTTGTTGGGGTTTGGCCTTCAGCAGCTGACATTTAGAACCGAAGTCGCGCCGAGGCGAGAGCGTCACTGTCTAAGAACATGCAGCTGGCGGTGATAATACCGCGTGATGCACATCTCCGTTGGAATGCTTTTATTTACGCAAGTGTTCGGTTCCCTCCCGCGCACGATGTCTCGCTTAGCAAAGGCGCATATAGATGTGATATATACGGTTGCGTGAGCTTATTTACACGCCAGACGCCATTCCGCCGACCCGCCCACGAAGTCAAGAGCTCATCGGAGTTGCTCGGGCGAGCTATGGTCTGCAGTGTTGACGACATGAATTGCAGCCATAGTGGGCTGACACATGGCTGGGAAGGAGATAGCCACTAGTACAGTCGCCGCACATAGGAACGATCGCCAGGGTCACCAAGACGCTTGAAGCCGACCCTTGGGCAAGTTGCGTGATTGTCGTAATGCGTTGCAGAGCGGTGTAGAGTCGATGTAGCGTTTACTTGGAAACGCACGGGAGCCCGAGCACGGGTCTAGGAGTCTGACACATGCCCGACGAGTGCGACAGTCATGGCGTCCCCGAGACCACGAATGAGGACGACAGAGAAATGAGAGGGAGGAGGATGAGTAGGAGGAGGAGAAGGAGGCGGAGTGGAGGAGGAGGAGGAGGACGGAAGTGGATGATGAGGAGGAGGACGAGGAGGAGGAAATACGGAGGAGGAGGATGAGGGAGAGGAAGCGGAGGTGGAGGAGGAGGACAACGCGGAGGAGGAGGAGGAGGAATTGGAGTAGGAGGAGGATGAGCTGAGTAGAAGGAGGAGAAGGAGGAGGAGGAGGAGGAGAAGGAAGAGGAGCAGGAGGAGGAGGCGGTTGATGCGCCGTCCCTTCTTTCTTTGGGCCGCCTTCGCCAATGGAGGAATCCGCCCCCTGATGGGCGCTCCAGAGGGAGGAGGAGGGTGGGGCAGGAGGAGGCGGACGATGAGGAGGCTCGTTGCGGGTGCGTCGTATCCTGGACGCACGGGCAAGAGGTCCACCAGGAGAGGAGAAATGTTCACTGGTGCTGCCTTTTGGGGTTTCATGGGGGCATTTGGTGGGCGCCTTGCTGCTTTTTCGGGGGCGGTGGTATTCTTGGGCCTCTTGCGGGGTCCCTGGGCGTCTCTTGCGTTGGTCTTCTTGGGGCGAAGGGCTCGAGATGTGAATTCGTCTTGCCTCTCTTGGGCTTATCTGAGGGCCCTGTTCGGTTCGTCTTGGGTTGTCTTGCGCCTCTTGTGCTGTCTTGGGGTACTTTTGGGAGACTTTTGGGGCCCTTAGAAGGGGCGTGGTGGGTCGTTTCACGGCGATCTTGCGAGCTTCTTGGGCGTTCTGTGAAGACGAAGAGTGCGTATTTGTTTGAACGCATACGCCTTCCCACGGCATTGGGACTCGTTGTTGCATCTGGGGACCATTGTGGAGATCCTTTTGGAGCCCTCCTGGAGCGCCTTCGAAGCCTTTTTGGCCGTCTTGAGGCTATCGTGGGTGTCTTTGACGCTTCCGCGGCGTGTTCGAACCCATGTGGAGCAAGCGTAGACATAATCTGAGGTATCTTTGATGCCACAGATTTAGGATGTGAAGGCTCTGGAGGCCCCCAGGGCGCGTTGGCGAGCTCGTCCCCCCCCCTCTCGGGGAGGATGCCCTCAAACGCGAGTTAGGACACCGAGTGAGGGGGCAAGGGGGAGGGGGACA